CACACACACACACACACACACACACACCAAGAAAACAGACAGAAATGTGAAAATAGACATGGTAGCACAGACAGAAAGTATCTGTCAGGTACAAAGGAAACTCCAATTCCCTAAACTCCAAAAGGTAGTTCAAATATCCAGAAATGATCACAAGCTGAACTATAGGGGGATGGTGGTTAGACAAAAGCCAGCATTTCTTGAGAACTTGTAAAACTACTTCCCGTCTACCAAATGAAATCATCTCCCTTACCTCTGGCAAAAGGGACATATGGTTCTCCAATCAGCATGCCTGTGGTGCCTATCAGCATATCTAGGTCCATATTAGCCTCCTGCATTCCTCAGTTCCTACCTAAAAGTACCTGTTCTATATCTCAAAGCCTCTAGGCCAGTCTCCTGGCCCTTCCCTCCCTGAAGCTACCCACCCTTCTTATAACCCAGCTTACTATGCTCTCTCTGTTCCTGCTCTTGCTACTTTCACTATGCTTTCTTTATCCTCTAGCCCTGGCTGTTCTCCAAGTAGCCCTGGCCATGTTCAGTCTGCTGGCAACATTCAGTCTACTTTCTCTATCTGCTCGGGACTCTTCCACCTTCCTCTGGCTGCTCTCTCACATCTACAATAAAACCTTCCCATACCATGGAGCACTCCTGTCATAAATTTATCCAGTGTTAAAAATAGACTGAGAAGATAGATAAGTTAGATACAAAGCTATACTAAGGTAGACCTGGATATAGACCTAACAGACAGAAAAGTGTTAGGTCTCAGGACGCCTATATGTCTAGAAATGAGCTTAAGCTGTACTGTAGGATTAGGGGTTTCCAGTCTAAAAAAAAAAAGTTTGCGTAAGCTGTAAAGGTGTAGATAAGTGAATTAAGGTTTGTGAATGCAAATTGTTAAGTTCTGAGAAAGTGATTTTAGGTATGTTAACAATGAGACTCAAAGATTATACATATAATGTTAAGATGTCAAAGTTCAGAATTGTAACATATTAATCAATAGAGTTCTGATAGATCTAGCCTTGATAAAAACACTGCCTACAATTATTCTAGTTACAGGTGCAAAACTTTAACTTTCTTTTTTTCCCCTAAATATGGACTTAAAAGTGCTATTCATTGTAATGAGAACATCTCTGAACAGAGGGAAAAGTATTCATGCTTTTAACCCAGAACCAACTTTTGGATCCTGAAACTCTTCCCCTTTGGTCTCTTTCCTGCCAAGATATTTGTCTTACTACAAGTAAAATTTTATGGTTCTATTATATTGATAACTTTTAAAGTTTTTAACTACTCCACCTGTTTATAGATACTTATTAGCAGCTTTTCTACAGTGAAGATTTCAGTGCACATTATAGACATGTATCATTTTAATACCTTCTTCCCTTAGTCTATCTCTAACCTAGCAGATTCTCACTCAGCTGACAGATAACCATCAAACTTCTCTAAAATAGCCTGCACTTCACCAGCCTCAAGTGGTTGTTATAGAACCTGTGATCCTTGGACTTGCTGAACACTAATGTAAACCAGCCCAGCCAATGTGACAATTCCCTGTCTTTTCATCTCTTCAGGCTGGGCCAGTAACAAGATGCTTCTGATGACTAGTCTCCATCCTTCCTGCCCAAGCCTTTGACTGACATTCCAGCCTCTCTGGGCCCCTATTAGGACCCCACCCAGTGTTGAAGCAGTCAACAATTACATAATTCTTTATCATCAACCAAAGGCTCTGGAATGTCAGGTTTCAAGCTGTCCCATAGATAGGTCTCAGGTAGTTCATGTGTCTAGAAATTACCTCAAGCTGGATGATAGGGGGATTTCTTGTGGTTAGGTAAAAACCAGAAAACAGTTCCCACTGGCCAAAGGAGTCCTTTCCCTTACCTCTAGAAGAAGGGACATATGGCTATTTGTGGCATTTATCAGCATATCAAAGTCCACACTATCATCCAGGCCCTTCCCATCCCCCGGCAATTTTTCATCCTTATAAACATCATTTGTCCAACCTCAACTATTTTCCCCATAGCTTCATTTTATATATATTTTAGTTTACATTTTTTATTATTGTTTTAGCATAAAAATATGATGCTTCCTTATAGCATTTTCTTATATATTTAATTTTGGTTTCTCCCACCTTTAACTCACTGTGCTCTTCCATCCCCTGAGCTCACCCCTTTTCTGCACGATTTTGCCCCTATCATTTCCCTTTCTAATTTCTTATCACCCCTCCCTTGCCATACGACCCAGCTATAATACTCCTGAGTATATTCCCAAAGAACTCTACCTCCCATCACAGAGATACTTGCACATCAATGTTTATTGCTTTTTTTTCCTACAACAGTACAGAAATTAAATCAAACAGCATCCTTCGACAGATAAATAGATAAGGTAAATGTAGTACATAATGAATTTTTAGTCTCCTATAAAGTAAAAAAAAGTTATAAAATATGGAGTAAAATGAACAAAACCAAAAATAAATATATTAACCCAGGCAACTGAGGCTCATAAAGAAAAACAAATGCATCACTCTTTCATATGTGTATCCTAGGTTCAAACTCAGGCTCATAAAGACAAACAAATACATCACTCTCTTTCATATGTGTTATCCTAGGTTCTAACTGTTGTATATCTGTATTTGTGTGGAAGTGCCTAGAGACCTAGAAACTAGAAAGGGGCTCACAACTTCATTAAAATGAACAGAGTTTTGTTGTTTGCAGCTAGCTAGGTATATAGAACGTAAACACTTCAGGAGATAAACACTAAATTAAAAGCCAACAAGAAAGGGTACTCCATGGATACCCTCATTTAGCCATTCATTAGTGGAATGCAGGCTAGTATGCAAGCTTGGTATTGCAAAGTCTTTTAATCTTCTTAATGAGAAAAGAGAATGAATAAAGTAATTTCTTCCCAAAGAGCAAAGGTTTTAATTTAATTAGGAAGAGAAATATAAACCCAGAAAACTCTTTTTCATCTAAGTAAAACTTTTAAAATGTTGGTTATTTTATTCTTTCAGCTTGTATTAGTTTTTACACTCTTTCTGAGTATATACTTATTTGTACGGATTCTTAAACTGAGCTCAATTATTTATTCATAAATGTCAATCAATGAGAAGTAGAATGACTGATAAGATGTAAAGTGGTGATAGTTTTCAAATTAGTAGTAATCATAAAACAGGTTTAAATTGTGACTAGCAGTTCTCTCCATTTCAGCAATAATACTTTCTACTTACTCTCAGATTACTAAACAGCCCTTTATCCTACTTCAAAATACAAAGCACTTCTGATTATAATTCTTAGCCTTTCCATTCCAAAGATTATGTTACTATTCTTACTCTTAAAATGAACATATTTTCCAAATACAGTATTTTTTAGGGCTTGGTGTTGAATACAGATCCACACACTCACCATGAAACCACTCTACAAGTTGTTACACCTGCAATCCAAATATAACTTTAACAGAAAAAATTTCTGAAGCTCAATGGTACATGCATACTTGCAAACATTTAAACTTTAGTTAATGAATACAACTAGGTAATGAAACTGCTTCCGTGCATCATACTCCAAATATAGTGCTATAAATTTTGAAATGTCTAACTAATACTACCATGTTCTTAGTTTTGAGAACAATCAACATCAAAATTACATTTGTAATACATGTTTTGTTTTGTTTTTTTCTTAAATAGAAAACTTGAAAACTAAGTGCCACTAGGCACGTTGATGCATGCCTGTAATCCCAGTACTTGGGGAGGCAGAAGCAGGTGGATCTCTCTGAGTTTGAGGCCAGACTGTTCTACAAAAATAAGTCTAGGATAGCCAAAGCTACAGAGAAAAACCCTGTCTCCAAACAAACAAACAAACAAAAAATAATACAAAGAGAAAAAAAAAGTAAACTAAGTACTCTGAAAACTAAGTGCTATACTCAGAGGGAGGAAAGGAGGGATAGAGGAACAAGTTGATATGGGGGGAGGGGGCGCCACTTTTCTGAGGGGAAAGGGAGAGGGGAAGAGGGAAGGGGGAGGGGAGGCTGAAAAGAGAGGAGGGAGGGGAACTCTTGGGATGTAGAGTAAATAAACTTAAATATTTTTTTTAAAAGAATGAAACTGACCAGGATAGGGCAGTTATAAATATAACTGAAAAATAAGAAAAAAAAGGAAAAAAAAAGAAAAAAAAATAAAAAAATAAAAAAATAAAAAAAATAAATATAACTGAAAAAGAAGTCAAAGTATTTCTTTAAACGTTAACTTAATCAAACAAGAAATGCATTTTTTAAAATGTTTCACTAAGAAGTAGGTTAAGTTAGCTCACAGTTTGCTTCATCAGTTTTTCCAGTCTTCTCAGAAATTCTGTAGATACTGATAGACGGTAATCCAGAATAAGTTGCCACAGTAACTGTGAAATTATGTTTTGGCAGTTTGGTGAGCTTCTCATATATTCCAAGATATTCTCAAACTTTATGGACTTTCCTTCAACAGTTACTCTTAGGAAGTAGATCATCAGTGATGTCGAAGGAGATCTTCAGTGGTGAAGTAGATCATCAGTGACATCTAAGTAGATCATCAGTGGCAAAGCAGATCATCAGTGATGTTGAAGTAGATCATCAGTGACGTTGAAGTAGATCATCAGTGATGTCAAAGTAGATCATCAGTGGTGAAGTAGATCATCAGTGACATCTAAGTAGATCATCAGTGGCAAAACAGATCATCAGTAATGTCGAAGTAGATCATCAGTGACGTTGAAGTAGATCATCAGTAGTGAAGTAGATCATCAGTGACATCTAAGTAGATCATCAGTGGCAAAGCAGATCATCAGTGATGTCGAAGTAGATCATCAGTGGTGTCAAAGTAGATCATCAGTGACGTTGAAGTAGATCATCAGTGGCAAAGCAGATTATCAGTGATGTCTAAGTAGATCATCAGTGACGTCGAAGTAGATCATCAGTGACAGCCAGGTTGGTTAATTTCACAGAGGCAGGTGGAATCTTCAGGATGTTGCCAACCTTTCGCTTCATGGAAGAGCTTATTTCCTTTGACTTTTGCTAGTGCCACTGCAACTAGCAGTCTCTCCAGGAAGGTATAGGAAGTTACATGACACATACATGGGAAAAGTTATGTCTTGATTTTGTAGGTTCACGACTTCTAGTTCTTGATCCTTTCTCAGAGCAAGAACATGATAGTCTGTGTCCATTCTGAAAATGGCTTTTCCAGTCTCGTCCAATGAGATCACCCGCAGACGGAAGGCAACTTTTCTCTGCCAGAGTAAGCTGACACCAAGGCCACAGGATTTGTTCAGTGCACTTCTACGGAATATAATGCGCTTGTTGGTGTAGCATACTACTAAGTCCCAGCCAAAGTTGAAGCCAGACCAGCTCCAGATGCATTCCTCATCTGTACAGATTTGCCTTCCACACCGCATACTGGTTCCACGATCGTCAGACACACAGACATCCATTGGCCGAAGTTCCCTGGATTGCTCTGCCTGAACAAGTGCTAGCCATTGCTCTTTGTATACAGGCGTCAGCCATGTTGCAGGGATCAGGGCATCTTGGTTGATAATATGTGCTGTAGGCAGGTCACAGACGATGTAGGGAAGCCTCAGCTGTTGGAACACTGGCACAAAGGCTCTCCCCTGATCACAGTCCAGAAAAGTGGCAACATCTGAATCGCCTTTGTACTTGTCAAAGCACAAATCTTCTGCAGGCAATAGTGCTCTTTGGGATCCTGAGCAAGTGGATTCTAGCTGCAGGAACATCCACTTTTTCAGCATAGCATAGACATCCATCTCCACTTCAATCACGAAGAGATCTGAAGAGGCAATGAGCTCTTTCATGAGATCCCGACTGATGTCTAGCAAAAGTTCATCATTTCCCTGGGTCATCAGGTTGTCCAAGAGCCACTGGCGGCAAATAGATCTGATGTCCTGCAGCCCATAATTCTCAGCAGAATAGTAGTACCTGCACACAGTTTCGGTACTGACTGAGGACCTCATTATACGCCCACACCGGTGAATTAAATCATCCAACTGCAGCATATTAGCTGTGGCCAAGATAGCAACAACTCGGCAAGGAGTAATTGTGATTCTTTTACTGTACAAGAAGCCCAAAACTGCATGGAAAGACTCATGGTCAATGTTCTCATCGGGCATCTGTATCTCTATTGTATTCATGTCTGTCTCCTTCCAGGCACCACTGAACATGCTAGCAAAATAGCCTGACCGGCATAGGTAGACCCTGTGCAAGCGCCATTCCTCCTGAAACGCACAGATCTTTACGTCACTGCCTTCACCCCTCAGGAAAAGCGACTCATAAATGATCCTGGCCTCTGACTTCCCACGGGGAACTTTGGCCGATGGTCCCCCTGGACTGCCCTTCCGCTTGTGGCCTGCCCGACGGGAGGTACCTGCGGCCGCTCCGCTAGCCTGCCCTTCTGGGACAACCGCCATTTCACTTGCCTGCCCTTCGCGGACAACTGCAGCTGCGGCTTCCGCTGCCTCCCCATCTCCAGCAGGAGGAAGTTGTGCGGCAGGGTTACCTCTGGACCATATTCGACTGCTTAGCGCTCCCATGGCTTCGTCTGAAGGGTGAAAACCCCGGACTTCCTTATCGGAGGTAGAAGCCAAAGACCGCGCGGCCGAACAGCGAACGCTCGTAACTCCCTCAAGACGTCAAAATGGCGGCCAAAGTGAGCCACGGTGCCTCACCCCCTCACCGCCTCACCGGCAACCCAGCTCCCAGCCGGAGAATGGTTCCCCCTACCTTGGAGGATCACACATTACACCTTAGGCTCCTTCATGGACTGATGGCTCAATCCATACCTTATTGCAGGGACCTCTCTCATTATTTTCATGAACACATGTAGAACTATTCATCTAAAATTTTTAGTGGTGGTTTCTTTATCAGAAATTACATCTTGCTTTTGTCTTTGTCCTCCAAACGACTTCACATACCTTATTAAGTTCTGCAACTGCATCATCATCAGAGAAAGAAAAGCCATTTTTTTTGTGTGTAAAAAAGACAATAATATTTGTCCTATATCTCACTGTATTTTAAAACTGATTTGTTAAAATGTTTCCAGCTAAACAACATTTTAAAACCATCTCACTGTGGATCAAAGTCATCTGTTTGCAGTCCATGCAAATATTTTCCCCAGAAACCTGAACAGTAAATATTAGACAAAATTTTTAGGTACTGGAAAGATAACTAGTCAAAATTTAAATCTGTTGAGCATAATTAAGATCTGGGGCTTACAAGTTAGTAATCTAGGGAATGGCTGCATTCCAAAAGAAAACATTTGCCTTGGTAGGTTTTCTAATTATTTTATGTCTTAGATAATGCATAGTTACACAGATGGAGGGCTGTTTGTCTCTCCTTAATATATTGAACACAGAATCATTTTTCCCTAGTGGACAAACACACTAAATTTACCCTAAAGAAAGACAGAAATTACCAAATTAATACATAAATAGTTTTGGGGAGTAGTTTTTTTTTTCCCCCTAACAGTATAAGTGAAAGTTTGCTTTAAACTTTCCACATTGATATGCTGAGAACCCCAGATTAGAATCCAAAAATTTATTTCACTTCATGTTTTGGCAAAATTTAACAATCAAATTGAAGGCCAAGGAGCAAGTAAGTTTTGAGTAACTGAAAATGTCCTTATTCTTTTTTTTTTTAAATGAAGTGTGATTTTCTTTTCTACTTTTTTTTAAGATTTATTTTTTTTAATTTTTTTTTAAGATTTAGTTTCTTATGTATACAGTGTTCTCCCTGCATGTACACTTGAACCCTAGAAGAGGGCACCATATCTCATTATAGATGGTTGTGAGATGCCACCATGTGGCTGCTGGGAATTGGACCTCTGGAAGAGCAAACAGTGCTCTTGATCTCTGAGCCATCTCTCCAGCCCTATCCTTACTCTTTTGAGATGTATGTATCACATAATGAGTACAAATTACATTGGTGATACTGGCCTGACAAGTTTTTAAAATTGCTTCCTGATGATTTAGGACATAGTTCTCTTTGCTGTAACATTTGCTGTCCAGTCTCTATGTGCTGTAAAAATGCATGCTTAAATGAAGTTCTGATTGGAACAGCCTGTGATGCTGAACCATCTTATTTAGCTGTTTTGAAGTTGTTCTGACTGCAGATTTTTGAGGCAAGAGTTTTTGAGGCAGTCTGTGGCACTGGGCTATTTGTCTTGTCTTCTTTGGTGTCTGATCCTTTTTGTTTTGTTTTTTCCAGATGTTTCACTCATCCAGAAGTATCTGGATTCCTTCATTGGATGCTTTTATTCTCCTGGAAAAATAAAAACAAACAAACAAAAAAACTTGCCCCAACCCTCATTCTGGGGGATCCCCCCCTTTTTTGGCAGGCTATATTTTTCTTTTCTTTTTTTTTTAAGAGAGATTTACTTATTTATTATTTATGTAGCATCCTGCCTGTACGTGTGCCTGCAAGTCAGAAAAGGGCACCAGCTCTCATTATAGGTGGTTGTGAGGCACCATGTGGTTGCTGGGGATTGAACTCAGGACCTTTGGAAGAGTACAGGCTATATCTTTCATTGAGGATTTCTTTCTTTTCTTTTCTTTCTTTCTTTTTTTTTTTTTAGCAATAGAAAAAGTATTATCTCTCAACTGGAATTTTTGAAATCTATTTTGAAATTTTGAAACTAATATACCTTTAAGTGTATTTATTTTTAGATTACAAAGGACATTCATTTTGAATTTCAGCCTACCTTTTGCAAGCAACTTTTAAATTTAAATCACAGTAATTCCTATGTTCCTGGTCTGCCTCCCAAGAGTCAAAGTTGTGCATCATCACCACCACCATGTTCACTATAACTCTAGACTTTAGAAAACAATTAACTTACAGAGATCTGCCCATCTCTGCTGGGATGAAAGGTATGGACTACCACCTCCCTGTTAAAATATTTTAATTGTGTTTTTAATACCAAACAACAAAATATCCTTTTATTTAAGTAGAAAACTCAAAAGCTGATGTCCAAGACAGTGTTGGCCATGTGGCAATCTACAGTTTAACATTCTAACATGGAATTAAGACACATGGTTTAAGAAAAAGCACTTTTCATTTCATGCCATCAAGGCAAGTGTGCCTTTGGTAAACTACTATTTGAAAATATTATTTAAAAAAAAATTTATGCCTAGCTAAATATTTTAAAGGTAGGCAAGTTTGTATGTTTGTTTCTGATACTGAAGGAATGTTAAACTGTGTTTTCCATTGCTAAACTAAATCATGTCCCTATAAATTCATAGCTATATTAGCAACATATGGCTTTAATTTTCCTGTTTGTCCTTCTGGCCCTATACACTTGACCCATCTTCCACTTTGTTTTACCTGAGATGAAATTCTAATCGCTAGAAGCTGAATATTTGCCTCCTGATGAGGCCAATCTGGATGCTAATGTTTTGGTGAAATTATTGTTACATCTGCTCCTGTAAACCTTCAGTTCCAATGCCATTTATTTTTATTTTCAGCCTTGGTATCTGATCATTTATAGCAGTTTGCCAAAATACTTGTTTTGTGGTCTCTCCTGAATTTTTTGTTTTATTTATTGACACTATTCTGTCCAGAGCAATGTTATTTTTAACAACGGGCATTAAATCTGTGGATGAGTTTCTCTGATGCTGACAGAGAATGATTGAATAAAATTTGACATTGGGGAGCAGCTGTTGTCATGTTGTCGATCGCTGCCGCTCAGGCCCTTTAGCTCCTGTTCTGTCGACCAAGTCCCAAGGGGTGGCGGGAGTGCTGCAGCCCCTGCCGCAAGCCGCGGTAACTGCCTCCCCGGAGCCACCTGTTTTGGATGCTAAGCGACCTTTCCTGTGCCAGAGTCGCTGAGTGGCCAGGCTGTGACCCAGCCCTTGGTTGCCACGGTGGGCTTCAATGTTCCTGCTTCTGTTCGGTATTCCCATACAGATGCCCAACTTCTCTGACTACCATCGTGCTGAAGTTCCAGACAGCACAAAGTCTTCTAAAGAGAGCAGCGAGGCTAGAAAAGGCTTCTCTTACTTGGTGACTGCAACTACTACTGTGGGTGTACCCAGTTCGTTTCCAGCATGAGCGCATCTGCTGATGTACTGGCCATGTCAAAGATCGAAATCAAGTTGTCTGATATTCCAGAGGGAAAGAACATGGATTTTAAGTGGAGAGGCAAGCCTCTATTTGTGCGCCACAGAACCAAGAAAGAGATTGACCAGGAAGCTGCAGTTGAAGTGTATCAGTTGAGGGACCCACAGCATGATTTAGAGCGGGTAAAGAAACCTGAGTGGGTTATTCTGGTAGGTGTCTGTACTCATCTTGGCTGTGTACCCATTGCAAACGCAGGAGATTTTGGTGGCTATTATTGCCCCTGCCATGGGTCCCACTACGATGCTTCTGGCAGGATCAGGAAGGGCTCTGCACCTCTCAACCTGGAAGTGCCTACCTATGAGTTCGCTAGTGATGGCATGGTTGTTGTGGGTTAGACACTTGGATTCAAGGCCCAGGTTTCTTTCAGTTTTTATATCTCTTCAAAAGAGTTGAGAGTAAGCTTTGTGTACTTCTAGGTTGGTTGGTTTAAAATATTTAAAATTGTTCATAATGCATTGGTAAACATTACTGTGAGGTAATTGAATTTACTTAATATTATCAAACATTAGCATAATAAAACCACTGTTGAACATTTTAAAAAAATTGACATTGGGGCCTTTGGGAGACACCCTTGGGCATTTCCTGATGGAAAAGGGTTACCTTGCCTGTTCCTTGTTGATCTGAATTCATTAGTTCCTTTTGCATACTCCAGAAAGTTGGGGCCTTCTTTTTTAATTATCTCTAGAAAAAACAAAGAAACAAACAAACAAACAAACGAAAAGATATTGTTTCTAGGAATGCCTTGCCTGTAATCTGTATTCAAATGGCCTTGCTTACCTCAATTAAAACATCTGCCATTTCCATTTTTCCTAAGACTTTTAGAAATCACTTCTCTTATCAAATTAGCATCATAAATAGGAGATCCAATGTCAGCTGTATCTCTAATCCATTCCTCTATTGGTGCTGATCTTGCTTTTAAAGGTCTAATCACCCTTTTTCATTCGCAATTAGTATTTTCAAAAGCCAAAGATTTAATGAATATATTTCTGATTTCTGAATCTCATATTATTCAACTTACAGCTGAAGTCCATCTTTGCAAAAAACCAGTAAAAGGTTCTTTTGGGCCTGGTATAGTTTTAGTAAATAACTCAGATCTCTTTTCTGATTCTTCAACCTTATCCCAAGCATTTAAAGCTGCTAAATGAGATAGTACCAAGGTGTGATCATTGAACTCAAGCTGCCTTTGTAAATCAGCATATTGACCTTTACCTAGGAACTAATCCTGAAAAATATCAATACCTCTGGCCAGATTTTATTGTTCTATGGTCCTAACATCCTCTTTCTACCATGTTTGCCATTGTAACTGAGGGACAACTTCTAATACTGCTGTTATCAAATCTTTCTAGCTTGGAGGGATAATTCTGTTCTGAATTTATGATAATAATAAAGTTATTATCTGCTTCACATAGGATGAATGCAT